TTAAGGTACCCAGTAGCTGGCTGTGGTTTTAAGGTACCCAGTAGCAGGCTGTGGTTTTAAGGTACCCAGTAGCAGTCTGTGGTTTAAAGTACCCAGTAGCTAGCTGTGTTTTAAGGTACCCAGTAGCTGGCTGTGGTTTTAAGGTACCCAGTAGCAGTCTGTGGTTTAAAGTACCCAGTAGCTGGCTGTGGTTTATGGTACCCAATAGCTGGCTGTGGTTTATGGTACCCAGTAGCAGGCTGTGGTTTAAGGTACCGTTTTTATTGTCGTTTTTAACACAATTCTGTTTCCTGTCGTCCCTCCAGACCTCCGACAGCAACAAGTCCGTAAAGAACCCGAGGACATTCTTGCCGAGCAGGACTGGAACCTCAGTCTGGACCAGGAGGAACCTCCTCAGATCAAAGAGGAAGCAGAAGAGTTCTGCAGCGGTCTGGAGGCAGAGCAGCTGCTTCTGAAGCAGGAGTCTGAAGTGAAGGTTCAGTGGGAGTCAGAGTCCGATGAAGACCCTGACCATCAGCACCAGCTGCTGGACCCTGACACCCAGCTACATATCATAGGTTTGTTCCAAAATGCACGAGTCTGTGAAGCAAAAGCCAACGTTAGAGCGTCGACCCAGCTGGAGCCAGGGGGCGGAGCTGGGAGGTGGGGCTTAATCTTTACGAGCAAAACTAAAAATATATGTTTTAAATGAACTTTCATCTTATTTTAAAAACAGACTTTTACAGGTAAAACACTGCAGTAAAGTTTCTGGAGTAAAATAATGAATTGAAGAAGGAGAACAGTTTTCAGCTGATTCATGAGATGACTCATTTTTATTTTTATTTGACATTTAAAATATCTTCTTTCTAAATTACGGCTGTTTTTTGTTGCGGAGAGAAGAGGGGGAATTGGAACTACCTCCATCCGTTGTGCATGTTGTGAGCACGATAAACTGAAAACTAAGCGAGGGACGACTTCCTGTTTGGTGTGTCCGCCTCTAAGAAAGGTTCTTTACAAAAGTTGGGTTGCCAGGTCAAAATGCACGAGCGTCAGTTCCACCTCATTACTGGTAAAATACTAAAATAATGTAAAGGTTGAAATTAAACTTTTATTACAGAGTTTTTCAGGCAGACGAGCTGCAGGAACTAACCGCAGCACGTCTTTCTCTGGCCCGCCCCCTGCTGGTGTAATGATACTTGTATAGAGCCTTTCTATCTGATCAAGACACTCAAAGCTCTTTACAACAATCTGTTCCTCATTTATTCATTCATACAGAACTCTACTAGATCTCTACAAAGACTAATTGAACAAATCATTCTAAAGAGACTAATCAGAGCTTCATCACATTCAGACACCGATGGGACACACATCGGAGGCAATGAGGGGTTCAGTGTCTTGCCCAGAGATACTTCAGCATGCTACTGCTGGTGGAATCGAACCCTCAACTCTTGCATTGGAGGACAACTGCTCTAGCCTCTCAGGCACAGTTGCTTCATGGGTCATGTGACACAAAACAACAGCTGTTCTGTTTACAAAAACATAAAACCATATGAACTACAAGAACAGGTTTCTTCAGTGAAGTCGACTGTCCAGGGTTTAGTCTGAACCGGATGCTCTGTGTCTCTGAGTGAAGACAACTCTCCAGGGTTTAGTCTGAAACAGATGCTCTGTGTCTCTGAGTGAAGACGACTCTCCAGGGTTTAGTCTGAAACAGATGCTCTGTGTCTCTGAGTGAAGACAACTCTCCAGGGTTTAGTCTGAAACAGATGCTCTGTGTCTCTGAGTGA